AAAATTGAAGCTGATGTTGTCAACCTAACTCTTATCGAACAATCGGAGCTGAATCACTTGGTACGTGACCTGGGCTTGCCTAAAGACAATGATCCATTGCTGGCATCTCGGCTGCAGCAGTGGCACTTAGTTGCTGCGAGCACGGTTGCAGAAAGCGAAGGGTTAAATGATACGTTTCCTATGACATGAGAGAAAACGTTTGCTCCGCTTCTGACGTGGAAGGCCTGATGAAGTAGCTTGGTATGAGACATATCAGTGATGAATGGCGTTTGTTCTTTGACTCGTCCGAGAGTAGTCTTAAGGCGATGCGCCTCCAAAGTGGAAATGTGTACCTAAATGGACTTCTGTTGCATTCCACCAATCTGAGGGAGACTTGCGAAATTATGCAACAGTTACTCGCTGCACTGAACTACGATAAGTACTGTTGGAACATCTGTGCTGACTTCAAAGTCATTGGACTCTTAATGGGTATGCATAGATGCTTCAAAAATGTTGCGGTTTCTTGCGCTTATGGGACAGTAGAACAACTCGGTAGCACTACACAACAGAAAACTGGCCAGAGGGGACGGATTATGCTGCAGCGAAATTCAGTATAAAACATACACGTCTTGTGCAACCTGATCATATCTATCAACCACCCCTGCACATCAAGCTTCGTTTGATCAAAAACTGTCAAAGCACTCAAGCGAGATGATTTTGCTTTCCAGTACCTGAAACAAGTGCTTCCGAAGGTCAGTGAGGCGACCCTCAAAGAAGGGATACTTATTGGGCCTGGTATTCGCTGGATACTGTCAGGCAATGCTTTCGAGTGCCAGTTGACTTCGTTAGAGTTAGAAGCGAGGAGATCACTCAATACCGTGTGTACAGGATTTTTGGGCAGAATGAAGGCAGAGAACTACAAAGACATCACAAAAAGCTCATTGTGGACCATCGGGTTGTTGGTGCTCGGATGTCACTCAAGATGTACTTTTTGCATAATCGCCTTGATTTTTTTCACGAGAACTTGGGATCTGTTGGTGATGAGCATGATGAGCGCATTCCCTAAGATATTTCAGTCATGCGGCAGCGCTACGGTGGCAAGTATACGCTTTCTTTGATGGGTAACTTTTATGGTTTTCTGCAGCTTGAGGGCTCTGGATCATACAAGCGCTCATCATTTCCAAATGCGAAACTGCAGTCAGTTGTTGGTGACGAGTGTTACAGTGATGTTTTAAACATATATGTGTCACATCGATGCATTCTTTATATTTTGCGATTCCGTACATTTACATATAATTCATAAGACGTAACTTTGACATTATGGAAAATAATCATTTGCTTATAACGATGTAAACTGACGTACTATATAACATCGGAATACATTTCTATCGTCAGTGGAGTTTATTCTATATGGTAGGGACATTGGCATTACTGTCATAGAAAATAAAATGTTCCTGTTGCACAGTGTAAGTAACGGTCACTTAGAGCATGAGGTCCAGATGATGACGTTTTATGGGAAATCTCCTGGTTGACAGTCGCAAAGAGCGCAGCTAGACCTGACAAACCACTTGGGAATATGTTTGTAGCCCAGTGATGTAGAAACAGGCAACATGTGTCTAAGAGATACGCTATGAAAATCAAGCTAACACGCATAGGCCATGTTCCAAAACTAAAATGGCAATTAACAGAATATTGAAAATTGTTGGAGCTTCTCATAGATTAGACTGTAAAACGGAAGATCAATTTGTACCATTAATTCACTCTGAATTAAGCCTGGATCTCATTGATGGTCGAGAAGGTATTCTGCGTGCGAGCATTTTCGATGTTGTGTAAGATGTTTTGAAATGGTTGCCGTATGTATGCGCTAGGTGTCTCTGGTTAGCCGCAAGCGGTTTATTTAGGACATCTGGGTAGTATGGTGAGGTATTTGGTAACAAAATATTGTGACGACCTTGCACAATGAACCTGGTCAATTGCCTAATGCTACAATGTCCGACAAAAGTTTGGTGGCTCCCACTCGTCTAATCACACCGCTAATCAGCGCTTTCAAAACCTAACAGAACAACTGAAGCCTTACTGACGCTCCCACTTCGTCAATCTCGGCTCCGTCCAAGTCGATATCGTGTCCTGTTTATAGAGCATGGACCCGTACCCAAAAGTTTCTTCCGCTGACATAATCCTCACAAATGAGTTCTCATTTCTATTTAGATAGTTATACTTCGATTAGATCTTCCTTAAATAAGCCGTTTTACAATTTGGTTACATTTTGCTCCGACGATCTGAACAAAGCACTGAATGCCTGCCTTTATGCTGTTTTCTCCAGGGTGTGTTAGACAACAACTGCCGGCCTAAAACCAATTGTAAATAGTGTGTGTGACCGCTTACTTTAATCTGCATCCTTTATTCACATATTCATCATCAACTGATAGATAGAACTCGTTCCCTACCGAAAGTGCGGAATTCGATTTATGATATAACAAATGGTTTGGCAGTTCAACCGCTAACTGGTGTTATCTTTACTTATTCAGATACGATCAAATGTGTTTGTGATGGTTTCATTAGGAGTGGCGACTCACGTGTGCAATTAGCTACTTCCTGTGACCCCATGGCACATGCCGTTGGATTTAGGCAAATACGACACAAGCATTTACCATGGACAGAAGGCTGCGAGTTCGTTTCGTCGATCTCTTCGTGCGTAGCAGTCAAGGCAGTTTTGGTGTCCGTATCAAACCATCGACAAGGGTACCATTCTGACCAAGAGTTAGCCTGACGGTCCCGCGGTCTTCTCCCCACGGGACAATGAGCACTCACTGGTCTCCGGCGATCCACTGAGGGCGAGTATGTGTTGTACCAGTTTGAATTCGGACTCATGGAACTGGCGTATCCGTTGACACACTGACCATATGGCCAACTCCATCCGCAGTAAGGGTCCTTCGAAGCCATGCAGTCGTCATAGGTAGTGTAACGAGAACAATCTGTCAATGGAAGCCACAGTACCTGTCGGTTTGTGGCTATGAATAGTTTGTCCAGCTGAAAGTAGACAAGCAAAGCCGAATGTGTTAGTCAAACAATGGCATACAGTATAACAGATCCAGCGAGTTCATTGAAAGGAAACCGTTGAGGAGTGTTCAACGAAATTGTTTTACAGGCAACGTGCGTAAAATGCGGTTATGACTTCCCAGTGCAGATGTTATAGCTTATTTTCTACTCAATGTATTGTTGCCATACCTCGCGTGTTGCGCCCGTGATCTCCCAATAATTTTGTAACCGTACGCAAGCCCCTCACACATGCCCGTCTATGATCAACTGGTATCTGGTCCTCAGCTAGGTGGAGAACAAGGGTTCATCACAGAAATGATAGAAAAGGAGATAATTGGAACACACCGGATGGAGAAGCTTTCAATATTTCTCGTTTTACAGGGGAGCAGTAGGGGGGTATGAGTATATCAGTTGCAATTGCATCACATATGTACTCAGTCAGACAGCTGTCCAATCACGGAAATGCCACCTACTGACGCTTCGTTCTTTCGGGAATCTTCAATGGCGTGTGTTCTCTCTTACCTCTGTGTGGGCTAGAACACCCAAATCGACCGTTGCTAGCATGTGCTTAAGACCACAGTAACATGCAAGTAAGTAGGGATTGAGCGGCGCTGTATCGCCTCTAGTAACCTACACACAACGGTCACTACCGTTCCCCATAACTCAGTGGTCTTAGGCACAGGTTGCACAAATTGAGTGGCGGGTGTTCGATTCCTGCAGGGTTCAGATGAAATGCACACAGCTGACGATTCCCGAAGTCATGAAGGGACTGGACGATGCTGTCCTGGGTGCGTGGTGGTTGTCTGAGTTTTCGTTGACTGACCGGGTATTTACTTGCACGGTGTTCTAACTCTCCTCTCAAGAATAAGAATGTGTTCAAAATCCGCGCTTCATCACCCCGCGAGTTTAATCTATAATCCCTTGCGGCTCAAACTTGTGCCATCTCCCTCGAACAAGGTTTCACCGCAATCCTTCAGTGTCGTCCCCTTGAGAATTTCCTGCTAATCCATGCTACTTACTAGTAGATGCGGCACCTCAAGAAAACTTAAGGGACACCTGTGCGTTAGGCACGGGTGATTGATGAGGCACAAAGCGGAGTGAGTTCTATAGTTTTCGGAGTGGGTAGTGCAAATACTTTTACTATTAGAATTCCCACCTAAATGTTTGACACAAAGTTTGTAGCCGTTAAAATCATTAACAGCATAAGCTATAGCTGACAACTTGCTCATGGATGATGAGCCAACTGTTGCAATACTCTTGCCTGGATCAATGGGTAGACAGAATCCCCAACAAAAAACGCTAACGATTCTGAAGGCGTGGTACTAGAGGTTTGGTGACTTGGTGGAGATTCGTTGCTGCCGAAAATTACCAAAACTGCTGTTTCGGCTAGTGCGAAAGGGTTAACATTTTTCAATCACTCAAACAACGAAGAAAACTGGAGCAGTGTGGTTTTAAGAATGGGTACACCAAATGTTTGGTCCAGTGCTACAGGTGTTCGATGATTGTTTCATTACACTCTTCCGGTTGAGACAGCGTATTGTTAGCTCTTCATGCAGCAGACACCTCAAACATGATCAACGATGAGGCACTAGTTATTATGGCGGGTGTTTTCAATAGCTGTGTTGTATAGGGGCATAGAGGCTTGCTGAAGACCTCCACAACCTTCAGCCAAGCCTTTGCTCGGTTGCGTCTGTCTACGGGCGCAAACCAAGAGGAACCGAATTCTTGAGTACTATGTTACAGACAGATTAAGCCAGGGACCCCAAATTCATGTGGAGTCTGGGCAAGCAAGGTTTTCTGACCTAACCCTGACGGTAGTTAACATACGAGATCTCACTTGGAACAGCACAGTAGCAATAACGCTCATTGGCGCACATGGCTTTTGTAATGAGGTTCGAGCCGAGCCTAGTCGGCCCGGCAGTCTAACCACGGATCATGGAACGCAGCGGATCCGTCCGAACGACGAAACCTCACGCGATTGGACTCTGGGTCACCGCGACTAGTCGGTAGCCAATCACGTGAAATTAAGCCATCACTGTGTAATGGGGTTCGAGAAATTGGCCGAGTCTGGTCTGCCCGACAGCCTAACAGTCGATCGTGGAACACAACAGATTCACCCGAGCGAGGAAACCTCACTCGACTGGACGGTGACCAATCGGGTGAAAGAAAACCAATAGTGCAGCGCGGCAAACATGCAAATAGCACGTTACGTGCAGCGAAAAGCCGGAAGCACAGATGGGTCAGCTAAACTATGGGTAAGCACTGAGGCCACAAAGCGCTATTAATGACAAACCGTTCGCGTACCAGCCGAGGATCCTTGGACCGAAGAAATACGACCAAACTGGTACCAGTCATAGAACAAGCGACATGGAGACGCAGTCCAGCTGTAGAGCGGATGATGGGGGCCACCACGAGCCAACGAAACAGAAGCAAAGAAACCGCAGCCACTGAGGCTAACCAGATGAAAGGCTACCCAGTGAAATACTGCAAAAGAACTAGTGTATTTTTCGATAAATATGCGAGGCCACTGGCAAGACTATACTGCTGGCAGCCACCGAGACTTCGTTGTTGATTCTTGTCGCGTTCTACAACAGGTTTGGATTCTTTTCACTTGTAATTATTAAGGCCTGAACACTGCTTTAAATTAAAATGATGAAAGCCTTCCTGGATGTGCAGACAGAGTTTCGGCCCATGAGCATATTCGTTGATAAGTTTGGACATGTAGTCCAGTCTGGACCAACGACAGTCTCTGGGCTAGATATTAAGCATACCCAGCATGTTTCTGTGACTGTCTTATAATTGCACTCGCGAAATATCTTGTGGTTGAATGTCTACGCTAGATTCTTACTACTTCAGACGCGCCTATTATGAACGTACTAGTAAGAATGCGGTTAGATTCCAAGGCGAAATCGCTCCAACTGCACTCTGTCAGACTTATGCCACACAAATTCCCGCTAAAACATTGCTCCTTTGTTTATTTCTACTAGGATTCGTCGACGGCTCCCTATCCTGGGACCAGTCATAGCCTTGAAACTTTACTCCATTTTATGCCGGGTGGAATTTGTTTCCCTTTACGCTTAGTAGAAATCTGCTCGTGAAAATAGCAGGTAGCCACGATGTGGGATTTCTTATCAGTTGCTTTTGCGAACACAGCACCTTTCAAGAGAAGTTCGACATGTCTAACTACTTTATAGGATGTTCTGGTAGCGCACTTCTACCAGACGATATAATGAAAGTGTGATTGTCTAATACCAGTGTGGATGTGTTTGCTTGTCAGACCAAATGCACCTGTCATGCATCTGTTTCAAAAATTAGTTGGGTCATTTCTTCGGATATACAGTTTTAAGTACATGTGGTGCGACCCATATCACAAAGAGTAAATGTTCCTCATCATCTATAGGAAAATATATCAAACAGAAACATTCCAAGCGCCGAAAAATTCTCCTACTGCTACTCTTGAAACAAGTACTCACTGTGACCTTGAGATTCCGCACCTCTTCCACTGGGTCATAATTCACTGACGAAGGAGGATTGCCTTGAATTGTTTGTGCCAGCAAGTTGAGCGCTTGTCCAGTGTGTAACTCACCGAGTTTGCAGACCACTTGCGAGCTTCCGGCTTCGTATAGTACCACTCGGGTTAGTGCGTTCCGCGTGCCTAACCAAATCATTGTGGTTCTCACCGGGTTCCCAAAGTGATAGTGTATCGGCAATGCTGGCAGATCGTAGACTTGGAGGTGTATCCATTCCGGCCCAGTTTGCATCAAGACGGCGCGCTTGTATAGTGGCTCGATTGCGTTATACCGATTGGGAAAACTGAGAGACATTCGCCGTCCAATGGAGAGTTCGGCCGCGGTGAGGTTAGCAGCGTTGAACCGCTCACACTGAAATGGTGAGGAACAGTTTCGTAACATCCGAACTTGAATGTAGCTACATATTTTTCAATCGCAGCAGTATATATAAGCTAGGGAGTTGGGAAAATTGTGTACGTAAACGCAACTGAAATTATGTACCTCAACTCGTTTAACTTCACTTAGCAGTTTATCTTCCACGTATTTAAACGACTTAATGCAGTGTGTAATAGCATTATTGTGTGTAACAGCATTATCTATCTTCTAACCATAATTGTAGCTAGCGGTGCAAACCTCTAGTGGTCATGGATTCCGTTCCATGTAGGGGACCTATGGAATGCACCCCACTGACTAGTCCAAAGACGAGGTAACGGTTGTCTGCTGTTGTTCCGGATTGGCGTTTGTGTTTGTTTGTGGCGTTGTCCACATAGAGGTACGAGAAGCGAAAGCAAAAAGTGGATTCAGTAGGAAAGAAACCCATCTACTTATCATTACCGTTCAAGGGGAACGGGATAGCCGAATCAACGTCCAGAAGGCTTTCTGACGCCATCGCTCAAACCTACTATGCAGCAAGCCTACGGCTAAGCTTCTACTCAGTGCCGACCCTGAATCAACAACTTAAGAACAGAATTCCAAGGCCAAGTACTTCATTCTATGTATACTAGTTCTCTTGCTCGTGTCGATCAAGATGGATCGGAAGAACTACCAGGAGACTCTCCGAGAGAGCCAGCGAACACTCTCCAGCTTGGCTGTATAGCGGCGTGACTAGATCAGTGGCAAGCTCAGTGTCTACACACCTGATCGACTCGAACCACCGGGTCAGAGCGCATGAGGCGTTCCAGCCCATCTAGCGCGTACGCAGATGCCACACAATGGAGGTTAGATGTCGTCTATTGGCAGCGGCCGAGGCAATAGCGATCAGGCTTCATGACGCTGACCTATGTGCGCATAAGCAATTTGTCCAGGCACTAACACTAGCTTGGTCCCCTGTAACACGGACACATAGTGTGGACAGCGCCACACACAAAAACACAGTTGTTTGCCGTGGGGCCAATCTCCTAGCTTGGTCACTCAGACCATCTGGGTTTTGAACCTGTACACTTATCTGATGTTTACATGTCATTCATTTGTGGTGTATTAACCTGATGTGGAACCACTGAAAAGATCTTGTTCGCTAACATTTGATCTGATTTTTACTCCCGGGATATTTTATTGTGTATTTAGTAGGCCGCATGTCTGGATCGCAGTCTGGATGACCAAAGCAGACGCCTAGCCAAATTGATGAGCGACGGCTTATCGATTATCCCCATGTGAACTCATATCGATGTTGGCATGACTTCACCTCGGACTGTGGAAACCGTTCGCTCACACTGTATAACCCATCCAGACCACCCTCCACACACCCGTCAGACTTGAATCCTCCTCCCGCCCCAGGGGTAAGCACCTCCATGTACTTCCCACCCCGCACTGTTTGACTAAGCCAAGCCCATCCCATCGCGCCCCCTTTCATACGCTGTTTAACGAACCAATGAGTCAAGGGCTAACGGACCTAATAAAAGTCGTCCTAGTCAGATTGTTAACTCGGTATCCTGTGACTCCTTATGTACGGTGGCAAGTATCATTTGCATTCCTTTTGGATATTGTGAAGGCCGGTTGTTTCGGAACTGAACGGGTGTTTTCGAGGTATTTACCTATTGCATTTTAATTACTATTTGAATAGTACCGTAGTTAACGTCCCAGCTTCCTTTCTTGGTTGGACTCGGGAGTTTTACGTGTCACTCGAGCCTCCCAAGCGAATTTGTCGCTTACAGGGAACGTCAAATGACTCCGCAAAGATACGCACCGCCTGCCCGCATTCCAATATGCACATGCACAATCAAAGGGCTACACCGCATGGCACGCACGGTGGGACCACACGAGTTCCAAACCAAGGTTTCTTGATCAACCTCGTCTCGCTAAAATTCACACGCAGCGCAGTAAGCCATTTGTGTTACAACTAAGAAGGTGGCTCTACCAGTATGCCCCATGCTGAGGCTGATATTGCTTTCATGATACTTCTTCACCGCAGTTGGGCCAAACCAGCATACACTTAAACTATTACATTTCAAGCTGGATAAATTTCATTCCACTTTATTTGGCTTGTTTTGCCTACTCGAATAATCTTCTGTTAACTTGCACACCTCTCTTACGGCAATTCTGGTTATCTTCGTTAAGTTGATTACGTTTGTAGCATTTTTTGAGTAACTTGCGTACAAGCTGTACTTATCGCGAGTGCGTTGCTAACCATCTTACTTCATATGCTAAATTATCAGAGTTATGTCGGCATAGCTGTAGCTTTAATAGATACATTTTAATGGATTAGGTCATTTCAGATGATTGGCTGTTGCTTGATATCCCCGGTGGCGCTGCGCTTGATGTGCTTGTTGACAAAGTGTCTAATTGTCTGTTATCCCGAACCTCGTCCAGGAAACAGTTGGTCATTGCTGGGGAGGATGGGATGTACATACTTGTGACCGTGCTAGGCTCCAAGAATGCCAATGCACTCAGTGTGGAGCGGACTACGGTCCAGCCACCGCCTTGTGTGTGCTTGATTCCCTAAATACAGCGTGCTTGTGGTTGTGTGTGAGGGAGTATGGGCCGGCTCCTTTGATGAAACGTAGCTCCCATCCCCATGCCTCCCAGTCTTATTCCTTCGGGTTTACATTGGATATGAGGTGTGTGGATGGAGCTGTGGGAGGTGCAGCGCAAGCCACCCATGGTCCCACTGCAGGCTCAGGCGTTCTGTGGCTTGACGCAGGGACAGGCAAATCTGAATTTAGATGCCGCCAACCATGTCTCTACCAGTATCGCCTTTCTATGAAGACCGTAAAAGTGCTTGTATGGAAGGTCTGTCCTACTTCTCTCTGGTTCCAGGTGCGATCCTGAGGGTTACGTTCATCTAGCATTGCCTAGGTCAATTGAATAACGGAGCTTCCATTATCGTCTGTACGACGTCTAGTTTTCGTGCGGGTGTAATCGGTTCGAATGACATAATTGTTTTCCAGACACGTTAGAAGGATGTTAAGCAAAAGTTTCTCCAGTGCGTCCAACGAAAATGAAGCCAGAACAATTTGAAACTTAAGGAGTGAATTTGCAAGAAAACTGAGCTCACTGTGGAAACCCTCCGGAAGATTACTTTCCAAGCATAGGCACCAATATACGGGTTGCCACTCTTTTTATTGTTCTACGTCCCAAGCCTTCGAGCTTCCTGTGCTCTGCGTTATTTAACACCGCTTTGTCACTTCTTGCGTTCTTCCACACTGGACGTATTGCTCACCAGAAATTTTGCCTGATCTATTGGGTAAGGACTTCGGAGTGATCACCGGGTAGGTAGAACAGTTATCGTCATGTTGCGGTGTATCAAATCGAAGTTTATTGATCTGTTTGTGTCCACGCATATTGGTTCTTGCAAGAGACTAGCGTCAAGAGTACTTGCCGACGCAATTCACTTCCTTCGTTGAGTATTTCAACATGTGTGTCAAACTCGTCAATTAGACGGAATACAAATCCATAGATACCCATGGACGAGCGTACCGCTAGGCAGTTATCCCTTATCTAGCGCGAAATAGCTAGACCAAAACAAAGTTGTCTGAGAATTAACAAACCGGACTACGCTACGATGCATTTTTCCTTTGTTAACCCAGATATTTTTTAATTGGTTCTTTATCATGCTGCATCGCTGAAAGTGTGTATGTTACGGCTTACTATTCGCCTAGTACGGGTGCATAATGCATTTTTCTGACTTGAAAAAAGAGGAAGCCGGACGAAATGAACCGGCTGCTTCACACAATAAGTATAGATATCTGTCACTATTAGGTTGCCTGAGTAAACAAGTCAGTTAGAAATGTGAACTTCACTTGGAATTATGTACGCACAATGTGGCTCCTCGTTACTCGTATGCTTTCTTTGGATTGGGCACATTCTTCCGCAACTCACGGATACGATGTTGTATCTGTGATGCTTTCCAAAAACATTTTATAAACAAAGCGTACTGAACTGTGTTGACCTCCACAAGTTACAAGTACAATAGAACGTAAACCAATCATTTTTGTCAACAGGAGTCAAGCAAGCGTGGGACATTTATCCATCAATGCAATTTCGCGTAAGAATCGAGCATTTTACATAATACACATTGACACAACGTGCGGAATACTAATAGCCCTACATCTGTTAGATGTTTATGATGTTTTTATTCCATCATAAGCCGTAACTCACAATGTTCGGGAAAGAATTTGGCACTGGTGATGGCGGTCGGCTTATTCCGACAATGTTTGACAGGAGTAGTGGCCCACTGAAAGCATTTTCTATATTTTCTTTCGGGTAAACGCATAAAGCGCTACCCATTGGTGCCCACCTAGAAGTAAGATAGGAAATATATTTGGTACTGAGATTGATTAACTTTTAGCAGCCAATTGAGTCAAACAGTATTAATATATTAGCATCACAGAGAGATGTGAGTCTAGATGTGGCGAATTTCTACCTACCTAGTATATCATCTAACGACGGCGAACACTGCAGCTACCGGTTCAAAATTAGTAATTAAGCATCCTACTACTGACAAGTAAACAATAGTTTAATAATAATCATAATCCCACGATGGCGTAATAGCATTTTCTGGTTGCTGTAATAAATCCTACGAAAACTACTCATGAGCACACACTTCAATAGTCTGCAACAAGTTGATTGCGAGTTCCTGCATCGCGATATACGCGATGAAAAAAATGCAAACCAGCAGCTTTTAAGCTATTTCCAAGTCGCCTTCGTCCTGACCTCTTCATCGATACCGTTTAATCCGGTGTTCGCGCTGTTTATTTGATTAGTCATATTCCTTTTTTGACGTATTAGTCAAATATTCTGCTTCTGCAACCTGAAAAGTAATGTTTTACTTATCCCAGACACACATCTTACTCGGATAGAAACATAAATGCGACGACTGTTGAAACAACTTTCGATCCCCATTTAAGCCATTTGCACCGCGTTGAGCTCAGAGTTTGTGTCCGAACTCAGGGTGTTTGTTCCTCTCAATGTTTTGTATGTCTAGATATACTGGACAAACTTTAGCTGAAACCGAGTCGGAGTCGATTGATTGTATATGTTCCGGTCGATTTTACGTCCCGTGTTCATTTTCGCGTTAGAAGGTACACAGCTCGCTTTACTCTTACTGAACAAGCAATGTAGCTATTATGTACATACCTGTCGTTGTGTAGGTGCTTACACCGCAAACTTATGAAAGAAACGGGGTTATCGCTTTTCATCAATTGTTTACACAGTACTTAACATAAGACACACAAATTCTGTGAAGTGCAGCTTGTGCAAGACACTGAAACTAACTCTTACTTTTCCGTCGTAAATGCAGCATACAGTCTTTGGGTTGAATTGTCCCAAAATGCAGATGTAACCTGAGTATAAAAGAAGTAGTTTCCTTCTTCATCGGAGGCTTGACACAATAGATCCGCTTTGGCGAACGTGGCGAATGTATCGGCGCTGACATGCGGTAAACCACCTCTGTCTCCTTTGCAGATACGTATCAGACGCGCAGCCGTTGCCACATTGACAACGGGTTTGTCACTTCCGTGACTCAATCGGGTTGACCGTCGTTTATTGCGAGAATGTGTAGTAGATTGGGAATGCTGCTCTCGTAGAACGAAATATACCTCATTACTCGTCTCAAAGCTGAGCAATATCGTTGCCGGATCTGTGGAAATAAAACAAAATCATTCATCATCATTATACATGTTAGCTGCAGGTAGAAAACACCTCAGCTTTTGTGCCGCAATACAAAAGACAAGACAAGGAAAACAAACAGTGGCACACCGGCTGAGTCCCCAGTAATGGATGGACATCGTTCAGGAGAGCTAACAGCTGGCTATCGTGCCGTAAAAAGAGAATCAAATTATGCCTAACGAGTGAGATCGTGATTGGAGGGGGATGCTAAGCAGGAGGGGGATGGACAAAGGAACTCACAACACAAAAGCCATTGGGGCCGGCTCCAAGCAATATCAGCAAGTGTGTCCAACCAAACGTGTTCACCGTATTTAGCATCCCAGCCAGGCAGCCGGGATGCACCAACCGACGCGAACTTCGAAGTGTGGGTTTTCATCTCTCTCGACTAAATCATCGCTTGGCCTCCTCTCCACCTCTTCCATTCGCACCCACAACGCGCAAACAATGCACGTCGAGGAAATCGGTGTGCTGGCATGCGCAAAACGTGACCCAATCATCGGAGCCTGGTGCGTGATATAATGATGTTGGGCGGCTCACTGGCTCTTCGTGCACCAAATACGCGACGCAATACAAACTACAGTTATTAGAATTAATTTAAAGCTCCTACTATCGATTTCTTTGGTTTAAGCGATGCGTGTGGAAATGTCTCGACAGTAGCCATGCATAGTATACTTGACCGTAACATCACTACTCATTCCTTGACGGTATACAGGGCTGAACAAAGTGCGTTCAATAAATTGGTCGAAATATATCAAAGAGGTATATTTGAATAGATGAGAATATTACTCCGGGCTCCTAGATTGCAGCACGAATTTCGAAGCCTAATCCTGCACAAAGCATTTACATACACATGGAAATACTAGGCAGCGACGCCCAGGCAGGTTCGCTATATAAACAACTAAAGCCGAAATTATTGGTTTGTTCAATGCAAATGTTACGCATGCTGGCTGGTCACTTAGAGGAAAGGGTTCTGTATCGTCCTACGGCGGAACGGATGGATGCATGCACAGAAGGCAAACTCCACTCCTAATTACGCGAAATGTCAGCGACGGACGGTCGTTTCACCGACCAGTTGATTTAAGTCTTGTTAGCTGGTAGTACTTAGTAGCGAGTACTTGTGTAATCGATGAATGTCGGTTTGCTCACTTAGATTGCAGACGTTTTGTCATCAATCGAGGTAACAAATGCAGTTCGTGATGTTATTGGTGGTGGCAGCAGCAGTAGTAGCAGCGGTAATAGCAGCCTTGTTAGCATGAAGTAAGCTTCACACCGATCCTGGGTGAATGTATGGATGGAAGGTGAGAATTAAGAGAGTATACCCGGACTGAGTAGGAGAGCAGAGGGAATGCGACCGCACGATAAGTTTGTTACAGATGTGTGTCACCAAGGTGCCACCATGAAGTTCCACTGTGCGGGTGTACATCTGTCGTCACCGATTGGCATGACGATGATGAGGTTGGTGTCAATGATGGTGACCATGACGATGATGACTTGGATGGCAGAAATGAGGAAAATTATACCTTCTGATGCTGATGTTGATGATAGGGACAACGATCAAGGATATTGCACTATGCTTGAAGGAAATTGCCATAACATTTTCAATGGGTTCATTAGCGGATCAGCAGATTTTATTTGCTACCAGCAGAGGTGAAAACCCACTGAAAGTGGCACTGGCTATTCTATATTTCTGTGGCGTTCAATGTGTTTTATGCTTGTGTAGCTCTAAAATTTTGTTTGCACATAGATAGCTGCTGCGGCGTGACTATGCCATCGGGCGATTCGAAAGCTGAACTACAGGCCCGTTAAAAGACCAACCAACTTGCGTTCTAGGGTAAAAACTATCTGTGTTAGCGAAAAGCAGTTGAGCGTCCCAAACTATCCCTACGGTCAAAAAGTCAAAAAAATGGGTTTCCTTCATTAACCAACCCATACGACCCAACAAAGTAGCATATATATATATATATATATATATATATATATATATATATATATATATATCAATTTCGATAAGATTTTCGCGTTTATGGCATTTCCTTAAAGTATATTTTTGACGTCTTAAACTTATCGCGGATTGGTTCATAATTTATTTTATACGCCCATTTATTGAAGAGTTATGCCGCCTTATCTGTATACCATATCCGATTTATTTTATTTCACCTTGTCGTTTCAAGCGATTGACTGTTGTTTGATATTCTCGGTGTGGCTGTGCTTGATGTGCGTGTTGACAATGTGCCTAGTTGTCTATTACCCACTACCTCGTCCATAATGGCTCTAGGAGACAGTTGGTCGGTGCTGAAGGGGACGGGGTGCATGGTCCTTGTGACCGTGCTCGACTTGAGTGGTGGTTCCATGCAGTCAGTGTGGAGCGGACCACGGTCCAGTCACCGCCTTGTGTGTACTTGATTCTCCCAATACATCGTGTTTGTGTTTGTCTGTGAAAAAGTGTGGTCCGGCTCCGTTTATGAAACATGGCTCGCATCCTTCGGATTTACACTGGATATGGGGTGTGTGGTTGGAGCTGTGTGTGGTGCAGCGCAAGCCACCCATGGTCTCTCTCTAGGCGCAGGCGTGCTGTGGCTGGCCACAGTGACGGGGAAATCCGAATTTGGATACCGCCAACCATATAAACAAACGTGTGTTTATTCAAAGTGTGATAAGCCCTTCCTATTTTAGTAACGGATCAATATATGCAGCAATGATCAAGCTCTTTCATGAATGAATTGTGATGACAGTTTTCCACTCTTTAACCATTTTTGGTCCATCACGGAACATTTCATAAAGGGATTTGTTGGATGAGGACGTGAATAATACCAGTTCTCGGTCTAAGAACTTTTGCGTTTGGTGTGGAATGATGTAGGGTTTTCACATTCGCGGATTGCGGTTGGTAGTTTGTTCCACAAGATGGCCTATAATGATGAGGATTGCAGACGTATGGTTGTTCTCGTCTTTGGTAGTACTAGCAACAATTTCTTATTGCGAAGTCTTATCTCTAAACTAGACATGTACGAATACGTTTCTGATACGACAAATTGTGTAGGAGCATCATGTTTTGCCTTAGACGTCGCAGCCAGAGAGGCTCGATGATTGCAAATGTTGCGGTAATTTAGACTAGATCCGCTACTGAATAAACCATTGGTGAATGACATCTGTAAATTGCTATTTGTTCTTCTGCAAGTTCCGCATGCTTCCACAGATGAAGTTGCAGTATTCGAGAATGAGCAGAGTGAGGGTATTAAATAATTGCAATTTAGCAGTGCCTGCATCGATTTTGTGGTATTTGTTAGCCACGGATTGCCTGGCAAGTGCTACTTGGTACTGGGCTTGTTCAGAAATGTAGAAGTCGGAAGAATACTGGACTCCAAAATCACGGGTCGATTACTGTATCGAAACCATTTTGTTGTTTAAATGAGCTTTGGAGGGTCAAACAACTATATTAATTAATGCATGATTTGTCAGTCGAGAAGGGTAACAGTCAGGTTTCGGACCATTTCTCAAGAGAATGAAGTTCGTCTTGAATTAAAAATAGTGTGTTCAAAACCGCTTCACCTTGGATTTCATAGACTACTTTTATGTCAACAACAACTAGAAAGAGCTAGTCATTTTTGATTGAAAAGCGAATATCTTAGATGTAGAGGAGAAAAAGCAAAGGGTTATATACATGTCCTTGGATGACGCCACTGTTAATTGGGCATGAAGGAGAATGGTGGTCACCCAAAGTGATTAGTTGATACTGATTATTAAGGTAGGAGAAAAGTCCAGTTAAAAGCCGGTTCCGGATTCCCATGGATTCAACATTTTCCAATAACCTTTTGCATGGTACACCTTCGAATGTTTTTTCTAAGTCCCTAAGTAATATTATTATTGCATAAGTGGAGTCTATGGATTATGGAGTGTTATTAAGATAGTAGAGTTAGCAACTCGTGCTGAGATGTGATAAATAGTATCAGAAATTAAGGAATTCCATCAAAGTTTTCCTGATTAATCTTTCAAAGAGAATGACGATGGTATGAGTATGGCAAAATCGGACGATAACGGATAAATTTCCTTTGGGACAACTTCTGTAGCATGGTATGATAATCTCATAAGGATGCTGTTCATTTACCACTTTGATCTCATTCATTACAGTGAGCACCGTTTGTTCCATCCGAAATGACGAAGGGAAAACTAGCGAAACCTCAGAGCAGCTAATGGGGTTTGTCCGAAACTGGAATATCAATTTGCCACATATGAGAAGAGTTAGTCTGTTAGTGTTGGGAAGAGCAACGCTCATCTATTTCCATTCCACGCACGGTCCCCGAGATCTGAATGACCTAGGTTTGCCTCAAAGTGAACTGAGGTCTCTATTGAGGTTGCGAGTCGCAACCCAAACACCCAGCGTGTTCCTTAAATTCTGCTTTGAATTGTGTTTCACTGTGCCAAGCTTTGCTTGCGAATCTCAGTAGCATGGTGTTCAGGGCGTCAGCCATGAAGTACTAAGCTCTGAGTTCCACCCCAGCTCAGGCTATCACATCCTGACAAGTCTAAACCAAGACGAAACCGCGGTCGTGATGTGCCAGGGTTGGGAAGAGCAACACCCAAATATTCCCATTCAGGATACGGTCCTCGACATCGGAATGACCGAGGTTTACCTCAGTGAACCGAGGTCTCAATAGAGGTTACGAGTCGCAACCCAACCACACAGCGTACACCATAACTTCAGCTTTGACTTAATTTACTTATCTTATTATCCGTTCTTATTGATTTTATGTAAAATATGATGTTTATTTTTCAGTAGTAAAATAACCGTCATGATAAGGTTAAATTAGCCTTGAATATACAATCGGTCATGCCCCACAATCAATCATGCTCACCTAGATGAATCCATGGCCACATGTGAACCGGAGCTATACGTGCTCCAAGGCTGCATAGAAGTCAAATCTTTTTACCTTCGTCCTTTTGGTTAATCCTACTTCTTACTGCATGCGAGTAGTTAATGCCGTTCGCAGTAAATAGTTACAGGGCAACTACCGTTCTATACGGTCACGAATTATGGGCATTACAAGTATTCTTTAGTGGTTTGTCGGGAGCGTTTGTATGCGGTATCATAGAAAGCAGTTTGCAGTTCACCTGGAAATAGTCAGCTTCGTAATTTTAATTGTCTGTGATAAAATAATCACGTTTATTGCGCAAGTATTACATCGTAAGTAAACGGCGGCTAGTTAGGTTAATAATGACTGATAGATGACGCCTGTTGATTAATTCTAATTGTTTGAGTACGTCATTCGACCGAATTCAAGTACGGCTAGTATAGAGGCGTGAAAGAAAAATTCAGTGATTGGGTTCCAAAGATGGTGTACAAGAATAGAATAAGAATTGTTACAGCACTCCAGGCCGCAATACTGCTCCGACAGTTTCACTGATTGGACTTACTTCCCATGCTTAGCAAAGAACAGTAAAGATGAGCCTGGGTCTTGGTGGTCAGGCACGCCATTAGTAGGTCGCTCCGTAATGTATGGTACGCGTTCCCTGAATACCCCGGAAGCAGTTCAGCCTCCGTCTTATGGGAAATTATGCATTCCAATGATATACTTGGAAGCTCGACGACGGCGTTACTCCTGGATAACCATCAGATGCTTTAGATACCATGGCTGCCAGATTTGGCGTGCGTAGTCGACAGGAAGACGAACATATGCCTTGAGCATCCGACGGAATGAAATCATCAGCATACAACTTCGGCAGAGGTGAGAAACGCCCAAGCACAACAGTGTTATGATCACTGGTCCTCTGCTCTTCTTGATGTACAGCGATGATATATGATATATGAGATGATATATGAAGTCTGTAATATACTTCATCTAAAGTACCAAGAGACCTGCTGGTTCTCAAAACATGATACTACGCGTGGCAACTGATCTTCGCTGCAGATGCTAGCGGTCTACTCACAGTCTGTGTGT